ATGTTGTGTGTATGGTACCTCAAACACTGATGTCATATTGACCACAGGTCACGTCCTTTCAGTGTAAAGAATATTATTTAGTGGATAACTAAATAACTGATGGTGCATGACTAGGATATAAATGCTGAACAACATCAATGTATCTTTTGCGAAGAAGATTTTCAATTTGATGACGTCCGGATTTACCAAGGTGTGATTGGACACTCCACATATTAGCCCCGCCTACACTTATCTGTATTCGCATTCGAGGTCGTGCGCTAGAAATCCAGCGCAAAATGAGGAAAAACATAAGCTTTTGCCGACGATTGAACCAAGGCTCTCGATCGTCCCCAACTGATTTGCATAAAAAAATAGTGGCCGCATGAGGTCGCTGTTCGCGCTGTATTTTTACTTGCATGTGCATAGCGCGTGAGGATATATGCCGACGATTGACCGCGTACGGGACGAATAACGACGAGAGCATTAACCAAGGCTAATTGTAGAACCACAATGTGCAATTCGAGCGGCATTAACGTCATTTCAATGAGTGTCGCCAAGTGAACTGGTAGCCATTTTCGCGTCAGCTCGCTTGTTCGAAGCAGTGGAAGGACTTACGGGAGAAATGTATTTATTTTGGATGATTTTCACATGTGTTTCCCTCGCCCTGTTTGCAAAGGAATCTAAAGGTAAGGAAGAATGTTTAAAAAGGCTGCAAATTTGGCAATATTTATTTCAACCATAAAGAGCACCTTGTGTTACGCCAAATTCTTGGAACGAGATTTTTTTTTTGTCCGCGCTCTGCTGAAAAATATGAACTAAATGGATTCATTCTTGTGAAAGAGTTAGAAAATGAAAAAAATATAATTTTTAATGGTAAAAAATAGTTACCCATGTCTATCAGGGGAAAACAAAAATTGCCCTCTGACTCCACTTGTACGCATGTAAGGTAGGCCTATATTACTTGTTCTATTAAAATAGGGGTATATACCATTTGCATTTGTCGTCATTTTCTGAAAAGGACCGATTTGAGGGCTAGTAATTGAAGGCAAACATCGTACTGTTGACTTGTTCAATGTTTTCTGTCCAGTAGTGTTGGAAAAGCACGGAAAAAATTTCAACCTCCGAATTTCTCGTGAATTCAACCCATAGGTCATTTGGCATACCTGAATCGTGGGGAAGAAACACCTGTAGCGAGCGTACCGAGCGTGCATGGTCAAAAACATTAAACAAAATAAAGTTGACTCTCGCCAATGGACGCATATTTTGAAAAAAAGGCGCTTTGTTTGCTTTCTCCTGAATAAAACAATTTCAGGCAAAACAGTTTCATAAAGTATTGGTGCCAGCAGGTCCCATACCTAATTTGAGCCAGGAATTTGTCGTTCAATCAATAGGTACTCTATAGATTAAATGCAAATATTCCTACGTGCCTTCAGATTTGATTGCTGTATGTATTTGTCTAAATCGATATCAATTTGCAAGTGAACCTTTCATAATTTACACCAACAGACGTCTTACAGCCCCCTTCCCCCGCCACCCCTCTTCCTACTTCAGTGCTCATATGAGCAACTCCCTCTCCCCCTCCCAAAGAATTCAACATGTATTATTGTTAAGGTTACTAAATATATTGCCTTGCGGAAAGTCCACATAATGCTGTACTTTGTTTAACAAAATTGCATTAGTTTTATTATTTTCCATACAGGGAAGTGATATGGCGATTTAGAGAGCAAATATAATAATTATTTTTATATTAAAATACATGTACTTTAAACAACTAGGCTCTAGTGAAAACTCAAAACGGCTTCTATTTTGATTGACTGAATTGTCTTGGCCCTACGTGTAGTTATGGTTTTGAGTTGTGAGTGCTGCTTTGCCCTCCAAAATCTTCGCTCGTACCCTCCGCCCTGCGAACAGGGCGCTGGGAAGGGCAGATGAGCTTCACAGAATCCTGTGAAGGAAGTGGGGATGGCATTCTGGGTAATTTATCATGACCTGTATATAAAGCATCAGGCTGCAGCTGTAGACCGCGGTTAGCCAATGGGCGCAAATACTATCCGAAAAGTTTGCCATAGAAATGCATACACACCATACCAGATGTGATTTCTTTTTCATTGCGGACCATGTGGACAAATTTTGAGCGTCGAATGATATGCATTTCGACCCTAGTGAATTCAAAACGGAGCCTGAGCAAAAATGACGGGAGTTGAAAATTTACAAAACAGATAAGTTTTACAGATTTTCCTACATTATTATGCTTTTCAACCAAAAAAAGGGCGCCGCATTTATGAATGGGAATAAAAGAGTGATTAATGACTGTCTTAACGGCCGTTTCAAACCTTGCAGAGTCGTGGTCGTGATGACTTGCAGGTCACAGGTCACGCAAAATCTATCCAATCAGAGCGTTATTTCGGCAGCCCTTCCCAGCGTCCTTTTTGCAGGGCGGGGGGTACGAGCGAATCCAACATCGTAATTTCGTAATCAGCTTTTCAGGCAATCAGAATGTTTTGTCAATGTGTTAGTTCAAAAAATGTTTAACTCCCCCAACTAACCAAGTGCGCACAGGATGGGTACAGCACATTGTGATCCCCACGTTGATTTCCATATGCTTTGACCGATTTTCCTACAACTGATTTGGTAGGAAAATATTAGTTGACCATTTCTCTATAGTATGACATTCTTGGTTCTATTGCTGCTACCACTGGAGGTGTTTTTTCTATATATTTTTTTTCCACACTCTTGTCTAGATAACATTTTTGGCATAATTTCTGTATTTTATGTGTAAACGGTTCTATTATTTAGTACAAACATTATTGGTCTACACATTCATCCCAGTCAGGTACTTGTATGCGTCCATTGTCACCGCCATAGGGACTATATACTTACTGATTTTATCCCAAAAATTGGTGGGTTTTCAACCCGAATTGGCAAAACTGAAAAATATACATAATTATAGTGATATTATTTAATGCTCTGCAATTGATTCATGTGATAACTATCAAAAAAGTACATCAAAACAAAGAAAATGGTACCGATTGAAAGGTGAAAATTACATGGGCTTCCTGTACCAATGGCGGCCACGTTACATACTGAGCATGTGCTGCTGTTAATTGTAATAGCCATGAATTTCAGTCTAAAGATAATACTTCATGGGTTTTGGAAATGGATGTATTTTTGACTTAAGTTTATGAGCACCGATGTTTTTACATCGGTTGCCATGGTAATAATGAACACAGTACAGAAGTGCATTTGGTGCCATGGTGACCACAGTTAAAAGTTTGGAAAAGTCAAACAATTTCATGTCGATCAGTCAAATACAAATTTGGAGGACACTTCAACTTAAAAAGTTCTCCATGTATAGGGCCAAGTCAAGTCAGAGTGTATTTCATTCAATCGAATTGATGCTGTTTTCTCTCAGATTTTTCACTGGAGTGATCCTTTTTCTTAAAGGTACATGTATTTCAATATAAGCGAATAAGAGTTATTTGCTTTCTAAATCGCCAGATCTTTTGAAAATAATAAAATAAACGTCATTTTGTTCACCACACACGCAATGTAATTCCAAAAGTAACTTGCAATATAACAAAATTATGTACAGTGTACATGTATACATGTATGCGTGTGTCCAGATCACCCTCCCCACCCCACCTCATCTATTGGTTTTATGTAATATTCTTTAACAAAATACGTTAGACTGAGTTTCGGACACACACAAAATGTTACACGGGTATTCGTTTACACGCGTAATATTATTTCTTGGTGATCAATACGCTGGTCTTTTGGTAACTGCTCTCTGATTTAAAGGGAATATACAACATTTGCAAACATCGAAAAATAAAACTATCAAGTTTTTGCGAAATACCTTAACAGGATGTTGGTAAATGACAGTCTAAAGCATCCTGTAAAATTATGGCACCTGGTATACTGTCATTTTCAAGAAAAGTGGTATTTTTGTATCAATTTCCAACGCTGATCGGCCGATCAGCGTTGGAAACAACTGGCTTTTTTTTCAAATACTGGCCCCAATTGACCATTGCACTTGTTTGCAATCGATTACAAACCTATAAACGGGTACGAGCCAGCTAGACTGGTTCCCTGACCTTACAATTCCCCCAATGTATGTAAACTGCTTTGTTTCTTCTTATATGGAGTCAGGGAACCAGACTACAGGAAAATGATCGTTTTTCTTGGTTTTTATAGCATTTTCGAACCCAAAACCTCCAAAAAGTTAGTGTAACTATATTTGCTTTATATTTCCAACCCCCCAATTCCACCCATTTCTGAAAATTACAGCAAAAGCAAATGATGTATATTCCCTTTAAGCACATCTTCTTGGTCTGATAACATACGAACCAATGTGCCGAATTGTGGTTTCAGGACACAAGGAAAATGCTTCAACACACCAAATTAATGAACTTAACACAAGTTTTAAATTGATTGATAAAAGACAAATTTGATCTCTGAATGCTGCCATTCGGCAACAGCTGCATGAGAAGAATTCAACCTGTATTGACAAACATTTTTGAATAAGCACTTAAATAGGCTGACTAAACTTTGACATTGAATGATAAATTACTAAAGTGGTTTTACTGAAAGCATGTGAAATCTTTCTCGGACGAATTTGAATATTAAAATTTGACCGATTTAAAAGGTAAATAATCATTTATAGCAAATAAATTCGTGTAGTCATGTATTTTCATGCACTTTGAGTCACTTTTATGTGACGTCGTAAACTCGTCCTAGCTACCTAGCGTACGGAGCGTATGGTCGAAGTCATTCTGGCTCGAGCAAACGGATGAAGGCCTATGCTTGAAAAAAACACGTGTTTTTTTTTTTCAAAGTGATGATTGGGTCTAAACAATAGTTAGTAGAACCTACTGATACAAAATAACAGCATATCATGGGATAATAAGCTTCGTTAAAATTGAATGTTCATAACGAAGGATATGCTCTCTTGGGGTAAGGGGTTAAAATCTTAAAGACTGTGAAACAAATAAGATTTTTGGACGCCATTCCATTTCCCAGCAATGCCGTGCACCATTAACCAGGAGCCTGACCCAGAGGCGGGCCGTTACCGCTGGTTGATTCAAGCCGTGGACCCGTGTAAGTGCACGGAGATCGGAATGGGTGGCTTCAGCACCTTCGTACCGTACAGACCCTACGAGGTGACGTACTATGACACCTTTCTGATAAGCAGCGATCCTGTGGAGATACAGCAATGGCTGAACTGCCCTGGTGAGTACACTAGCGGACCCAACCCCCCGGGGAAGGGGAGGGGGTTACTAGGGTCAACCATGGCCCCCTCCCCCGAAGTTTCATTAACAAGAGAAAGAGTGAAGAGGTCTGTTCCAGATCGCTGTTGAAGTGTACTCATTCCTTTGCCATACACGGACTTGTGTAAGAAAAAAAAATCAAAAGCAACATCAAAGGATAATATAACCATTTTAGCACTAATCAAGAGAGTAGATGTGTTTGAATTTCGGTGCAAATTTTAACGTTCCGTTTTTAAATTAATTTTCATTTTATTAATTTTGAAAGCTTGCTCCATCGAAGAGCCGCTTGGGATGGAGGATAGACGCATCCCTGATGATCGCATAACAGCCTCGTCTGTGTATCATGGGGAACAAGCTACTCACGGAGCAGCTAGGGCGCGGCTTAATACTGAAGGTAAGCTTTCTGCTCATGAACGAAGTGATATTTTCGTGTTTCACTCTGGAAAATATATATTGTTCAATTTGATATATTTTTCTAACTTAAAAAAACACTACATCCTTTAATGCACCCAATTGGGCTACAAACTGTGTTTTAAACGAAATAATGTTAATTGAAAAGAGCATTTAAAAGTAGGATATAAACCTCCACACAACCATCATTTAAAAGCTTTCTTTTTGTGTGTGTTATACACCCGGGAACGAATGTCGGGGGTGAACATGTTTGACTATTAAAAATCGAGCTGTTGGGTGCTAGTCGTACTTTCCTGCCGCACGTGTACCACCAGTCCATCGAATTCTGCGGACGTGCGAGAAACAAAATGTTTTCAACAATAATTGAAAATTTTTGAACTGCTTGGTTGCAGAAAAACACACCGGTTTAAAATTTAACACACAAAAAAGACGCGTCAGTTTGAACATGCGCACATTACCTTAAACTTGATGCAAACAATTGAAAAGACCATGGTGTTGCTGCCACCCTGCAACAAAAGGGTAGACTGGTTTTGCCGAATACGTTTCGTAGACACTCGCATATGATCGCGATAGATCGAGTATATCCGGGCGTAACATGGTTCCTATTTAACAACAAAATACCTGTCATGCTTGTCATCAGTTCTGAACATTTTGAGCTCATAAATTCTTTGCTGCGTCGAGATATCTTGATTGCGACGATAATATCTGACCAACGATCTATTTTTGAGACGTCATGATCGCCTAAGAACCAGACAAAAAAGACAAGGAGTTCGCGTGTCTACTTTGTAATTATGCTAACTAGTTATTACGATATTCCGATAAGTCTCTAAGATTCATCTCAATCACTCAATACAGGATACGCTGAAGCCTGGTGTAATGACAACTCTGATGACAGTCCATGGATACAGGTTGACTTCGTTGGCTCAGTCACCGTCACTGGCTTGATCACCCAGAGACGCGGAGATTACGACCAATGGGTCACGGAGTACCAATTGACGTACAGCGATGACGGTCAGTCCTGGTATAACGTGACCGGTGCTGATGGCATACCAATGAAGGTAGGGTTATTCAATACCGAGAAAAGGAGTATGCTTACTATTGTTGCGCTATTATTATCAATGCTAACTAATGTCATTTAATTGCGAACACTTCCTATGTTATTTTTGTTTACAGTTCCCCGGTAACAAGGGCTCTAACAGCCTGGTAACCACTCATTTTCCGTTTGCCTTGTGCACCAGAATCCTGCGCATTCACCCCACGGAATGGAACGTACATTGCAGCATGAGGTTTGAAGTGATTGGCTGCTATTAGTCAGACTAATACATTGTCGTGCGAATTGCGTTTGGATCAAAACACACAAAAAAGTTTGTGCTCGTAAATACTGGATCTAAACTAGATTTATATTACCATTTCGTGAATTTTCTTGATACTTATACGATGGATGTTGGAAAATGTATTTAGATGTTGGTAGAGGTAACTATTAACTGAATAAACAAAACTGAATTATTAAACAATATCATGCAAGTTCATTACAATTCCCACAAAAATAAAGACAATAATTACAAGCAACGTTAATTTATCACCATGAAGGATTAGGCTTCGAAAACGCAATTAATCGGATACAAGTTATATGATTTGTCAGAGTTGTATAGTAGAATTAATTAAGTGTGGGGTTATTTCATGTTGCTTGTCGTTTTCACAGCTATATATTACTATAAAGAGGAGTGGGTGTGTGCATGTTTATGGTGTAAATCGATGACACACATATGAAGCATCATCGAATAATTGAGGACAGTAGTTGCAAATCGATGACGACCTCGATTTGAAAAAAAACGTGTACAAAATAAATGGGAGCTGTTGCTTTTATACACAAAAGATTGATGATGACTAACAATAGAAAACCATCGAATTACACCATTAAGACACCAGTGTGTGTATGAGTTTGTTTCGGCTGCATTCAATATGGGACGTTGAACAATATAAGACAATATGGTCCCGCATTCCTGAAGGTCCCTAATTTAGAGATCGTTTACAAAACATATGGGAAGCCTTCCTAAAAAGCTAGTACAAACAAAAGAGGGCCAATAAGGGGACCCTGATTGCAGGCAAATACACTCTTTTGTGCGTGAGTTGTACACGAGTGCTTCGAGTTCGACCGAAACGCGGTCGACAGTCTGCGTACCGGCCGGGTAAGCCGAAGCCTTGTATTAAATAATAATGAATATTTAAGTTGTTTTTACACTGTTTATGTTTATAGGTGGCCAAAGCATTATTATTATAATACTGTGTGTTTGCAAAATTACGTTCGTTAATAGCGCATAAGAAAACTGAGCAGCAGAGGATATAGAATGGTTAAGCTCATGCGGATGAAACATGATTCATAAAGTGTCATTAGAGACGCGCACGTGTTGTTGTCCACGTGTGTAGTGAGCTATGCGTAATGGAACGGTCTAGTGAGGACAACACCTCCTTTGTATATTATACAATAATTAATGTTTCTGGTAAGAATAATTCCATGAGGTGACAGTTGGACTGTTCCATTCCACTAGGCGAAGTGCGAGTGGATTGGAACATTCCATTTGTCACCGAATGCAATTATTCTTTCCTTTGAACGAATATGGATCATTCATTATTGTTTTATACAACGCTTGAATAAATCCTCGTCATCTCACTGGTAACTGGTAAACTGGTACTATGAATGTACAGCATCAGAGCAATCAGAGCTGTGTTATATTTAGCGCAACCAGTAGCATGACCAGGCAATATTACTGCAATGGAACTTCTATTTTGCGGTGTGTGACGAATAATTGGGACATACGTGATCAACGATCCACCAATCAGATAACGGGGATTTATAACGGCCTTGCATAAACTGATTACGTCGTTGGTTGCAATAAAGCACAGTTTATCGAAAAAGTTTGGAACTCCGAGCCAACTTGAGTCCAAAGTCACCATGGATTTATCTCTTTGTCAGCTATTGCATTCTCAAGTTATTTGGTGTCTCGCTCTTTTTGTTGTCTGCGTGGTCCAAGACTGGGTTGAAATCTGGGCAGTGTTGAAAGCAATTGAAGACCAGGGAATCAACAACGCTTCTGTATCTGCATCTGTATGGGTACGTTGCAGAAACCTATTCAGGCATTAACGCAACGGAGAGAAAGGGTGTGCGCTGGGATGTTACAATGAGTGAGGTCCGTGGCCGAGGAGGGTTTTAAACCTCTTGACCGAGTCGGCTTGAACAAGGGTTTCCTCAAGATGGTTCCAGTCTATAATTGATGTGCTTGCATCAAGATCAGAGACATACATTCCGGCTGCTTCAATATTGTCAAAATACACGAGGACAGCGAGAAAATCATGAGAAAGAAAGGAGTAAGACAGGGAGATACAAGATCACCAAAGCTATTTACAGCTTGCCTAGAGGGAATACCTAAAACACTAAATTGGTCAAATAAAGGAGTCAGCATAAACGGGGAAAATTTAAGCCATCTCCGATTGGCAGATGGCATAGTCATTATAGCCGACAAACTCAACGATCTTGAGACTATGCTGCAAGAAATGGCCGCAGCAAGCAGGTTTACTGGACTCAAAATGAATATGAACAAGACAAAGGTCATGGCAGGACCAGCAACAAGTCCAAAGCAAGTGATAATTAATGGCATATAAATAGAACAGGTTGACGAATACATTTACCTAGGCCGACAGTTTTCCTTTCAAGACAAAAGCGAAGACAACAAAATACGCAGAAGAATCAAAGCTGGAGGGTCAGCCTATGGAAGATACAGCATTATCTTGAAAGGTAACCTCCCAATGTGCCCCAAAAAGAAAAGTGTATAACCAGTGCATCCTCCCTGCGATCATACGGAGCTAAAAGCTGGACATCAAAAATGGACAGAAAACGAGCAGCAGCTCAACACAACATGGAAAGAAGTATACTAAAGATCACGCACAATTGGACAGAAAAACAAACAAATAAAGGGAATAGACACAAATTTATGACATCTTAGAACAGTAAAGTACAGAAAACGGAACTGGGCATGCCTGGACACCACGAAATAGACGAACGAAATAGAGGGCGCCATAGAGGAAAGCAAGTGGTACCATAGAGGAAAGCAATTGGTACCATTAAGCACACAAAAAGAGACATTGGGAGACATCCTGCTAAGGCCTTCATCCTGCAGTGGATCGACGATGGCTAACAAAGTAAGTAAACTAAGTTTTGAAATGAACCACGACGTCTGAAAAGTTGAACCACAACGTTTGAAAGTTGAACCACGACGTTTGAAAGTTGAACCACGACGTTTGCCTGTCCGTTAAGAGCACCAGATAAGATAAGATAAGATAAGATAAGATTGAACTTTATTATCCCTCAGGAGGGAAATTAAAATGGCCTTGACAAAGAGTTGGTTATATAAACATACAATCATTAATTAAAAAGATGTAAAAATGCAATGTAGTTACCACAAACTTATAAATCCAATAATTACAGGTAAAAAACAAACTACTACATATAATACACATATTACATTACATTAATGAGGGATCAGGGTCAGCCACACGGCAGTTCATCGTTCCAGTTGCTCATTGTACCATTTGATAGCTGCTGGATCGAATGAACTGCCGTATCGCCGTGTCCTGATCCTTCGTTGTAAAAAACGATTACTTCTGGTGTTCGTTTGGAAGTCGGCATTCAATGGGTGATGTGAGTCAGAAAGAACCGTCTTAATTGTATTGCACATAAGAAACCTGTATAATGCCTCTGGAGACTCTTGTTGTAACCCAATAGCTTTACTGGCTTGCTTAACTATTCTGTCTAGCTTAATCCGATCCTGGCACCTCATATTTCCGTAAAAACAAACAAGACAAAATGTGAGAATACTCTGTACAATGGACTTGTGAAACAGTTGTAAAATAGTTTTATCAACGTGAAAAGACTTGAGTTTGCGCAGAAAAAACAAACGTTGTTGCTGCTTGTTATATTTTGATTTGGTACATGCGTCAAATTTCAGTTGGTCATCAATTTCAGTTCCCAAGTATTTGTAAACAGACACTGCTTCCACACATTTGTCTTTAATATTAGCTGGTGTAATTGGAGATTTCTTTTTCCTAAAATCAATCACCATCTCTTTGGTTTTGTTGATATTGATTTCTAGATAGTTATCATCACACCACCGAGTAAACTGTGCCACCTCACCAGTGAAACAATCTAGAGATTCTTGTTTGTCATTTAGAAAGCCAACAATAGCTGTGTCATCGGCATACTTAATTATTCTATGTGATGTTTCCAGAGTAGTGAGATCATTTGTATACAAAGTGTAAAGGACAGGTGACAGAACACATCCCTGTGGGGCACCTGTGTGAGTGTGCTGGACGGATGAAAGTGTGGAATTCACTTTAACACGTTGACTTCTATCGGTTATAAAATCGTTGATCCATAAAATAAGCCTGGGGTTAACATTCAAATTCATTAGTTTTCGAGCTAGAAGATGCGGTTGGATGGTGTTGAAAGCGCTTGAGAAGTCCACAAAAAGAACTTTAACGAAAGCCCCTGCTTTTTCTAAGTGTTCAAAGATACCATTTAGCAATGTAAGTACAGCATCCTCTTCACTCCTGTGAGGACAGTAAGCAAACTTGTTCTCATCTAGAGAATGAGTGACAAGTGGCAGTAATCTATTCAATACAATTTTTTCCAAACACTTTATTGGTACTGAGGTAAGAGCCACTGGACGCAAATCATTCATTTCTTTAACTTTTGATTTTTTTCGGAACTGGCACAATTGTCGATTTTTTCCACAGAGCTGGCACTGACGCTTCGTCAATAGATGCTTGGAATAACATTTGAAAGGGGATCGCTAACTCGTCAGCACATACCTTAAGTACCTTAGAAGTGATGGAATCTGGTCCCATTGCTTTGCGTGAATTAACAGTTCTAAAAAGACCTTTCACTTCCCGAACAGAAATACCGATGTTCTCCACTGGAGAGTTACGTAACTCACACATTACTTCATTCTGTTCCGCACTAAAATCAAACTTGTCGAACCTGCTGTAAAACGAGTTTAACTCATTAGCATAGCTTATTTCATCCTCTACCGAGACACAATTTTTCTTAGGTTTGTTACCTGTTATTGTCTGCAGACCTTGCCAAGCTTTCCTAGTGTCGGTCGTCTGAAAAAAAAATCAATTTTGTTTTTATAAGCCGTTTTACATTCCTTTATTTTACGTTTCAGTCTTTTTAGGTGTTGGGCCTCAGCCCAACACCTATTGTTATTGTAAGAATTTACTATTTTTTTTATTATTCTTCAAGACACATTCTTCTC